AAACCCTCCTCCAAATCCCGAAAGCCTGCCATGCTGGTTAACTTTAATAGTAATAAGAAGACACACCACGATGGTCAGAATGCGCAAATTTTCTCCCACTTGTGCAGGCTCATTTTGTCAGTGGAGTTTCACGGTACACTTGAAAAATACCGTGTCATATCTCGTCGCTTCGCATGTAAATAGCGAATTCATGAATAACACTTGAATAAACACAAATATGTGAATTTGCACGCTAGGCTTTTGAATATAACGATTGTAAAAAGTTTCCGTGTGATCTATTAGCAATTTAAAAGATACCTAAACTGTAATACTGCCATATATTTAATCTCGCGTTTGTTATGTTTTTTGCCGTGGAATTAAAATTGCGTGTCATATGATATTTTAATAGGCAAATAGCGTTTGAGATATAGGCCTAGCAACATTAGCAAACAAATACACTGAAATCTTGGTTAGCACACCAACTTTTACCACTTTTAATGCAATATTACTAAACTGTAATTGTAATACTGCCATATAGATTTAATCTCGCATTTGTTATTTGCGCAACAGCAGTTTTGCCGTGGAATTAAAATTGCGTGTCATATGATATTTTAATAGGCAAATAGCGTTTGAGATATAGGCCTAGCAATATTAGCAAACAAATACACTGAAATCTTGGTTAGCACACCAACTTTTACCACTTTTAATGCAATATTAGTCAACTTATAAGAGAACGTGAGACAAATCATGCTGAATTATTCGACTATATAACTCCTAAGACAGACAGACGCAATAATCCTTTATAGGTTTATTACAAATATGTAGACATTTGAGACGCCGTCAATGCTGAAGAAAAGGTATACTTAAAGCCTTTAAATAAACGAGTTCGATGCACAGTTTCTTTTACCATAATTATCCAATGCCGGTTTTATTCGCTGCATTATAAACCTCCTCCACATAATACCCCTTCTTTAAAATACCAAACATTTCGAATGCAATTGAGATATGAAATTTCAACAACAAGACAATTCAAGATGACAAATGGCCCGCAAATCAGTAAAAAGTGCAAATCAAAACCCATATTTACACGGCGAGTACGCACAATTTCTGATCGGTTTTGACACCATAGGTTGAAGCCATGAAGATAAACTTTATTTTAATTTTCTGGTTTAACAACCTCACTAGTACTGCGTCGTAACAACATCACTAGTATTGCCTCGAAATGCAAATGTAAATGTCGGCAGAAAAATACGGGCGCTTCCGATTGCTCTCGATACTTTACGAAAATCCGGACTGGACCACCATGATCATCATCGCTCATCGCGTTTGTGTACTATGTGATAATGGCTAGCCCGCAAACGGGCTAGCCACAAAAACCCTTGGGCCAGTTTTTGAAAAATTCAAAAGTCCTTTTGTAAAGAAAATGTAAAGAGAAACCATTTAGTTTTTCTCCAGATTTGAAAAACACGTCGAAAAAGGAAACGACAATAAAGCTACCATGACCTCCCCTTTGGTTATATTGGTCGGAAAAATAGTCTTGATTGTCACTCAAACTAGTTTGGAAAAATATGGTTCAAAACTTGAAAATTTTACACACAGATATGTCTGAGGCTATAATATGAAACAATAATTTATAATTCAATGTTTTCCATGGAATATGCAGATATGCGGTCGTTTTTCGGTAAGGGTTCGTGTTTCTTAAAGTGTCTTAGAGGTCCATCGAGCTGATCCAGCTGTTCATGTGTCGTGATCTAAACACAAAATGGTCTATATTGAGTCGGAGGACTTTCCATATAAAATGTTCCAAAACCCTCTGGTTAAGTCCTCAACCCCCCTCCATCCCCTGGGGGTTTTATTTCTAGGCATGGAAATAATAGTACGATATTCACCATTTTTGTTTATACTTTGTAATTCTCACACCAAGTCAAAGTCAATATGGCGGGTTTGGAAGGATGAAATTAAGACATAATTCCTGAACAAGTAGGCATTCTATATCTATTATTTCTATGCAATAAGTTGGCCCCAGACCCCTAGGACTCTTAGTAAGAGTCGTATTTACCTGTTCGGCAATGACTTTGTGAAGATTGACCAACAACGTCTGTGCCTCAGGGATGAGTATCAACTGTGTAAAATGCGCGTTCAATGTTAAGGCAGCCCAGTCTAGAACCTATAAACACGTACAAGTCCAGTTACAAATTGGTCAGTACGGTTCCTTCTCTACGAGTGTCCAAATTTTTAATCCATTGCCCAATTTAAGAAATATGGACACACTCCAAATTTTCTGAAAATTGTCGAAAACCATGAATTTCTTTCATGAAACATGTCATAAAAATCAAAATTTTGGTCAAAAATTCAAATTTTCCTGTGTGCATTCTGTTGAAAAAAAACTTGACGATGTCCAATGCGGAGTTATGGTTCAACTGGCTAATGCAGTACAGTACTTTATTCAAGTGCGGAAGACATCTCACCTGTGTATAGGACAATGTATGTACAGATCCCTCCAGTTGTAGTAAATCTTGTAGAGTTATCGACCACCATTTTATGACACAAAGAAGAAATTTCATAAATAGCTAAAGAAGAAGAAGTAGGTGTTGATGGCATAGCGTACCATGTGCCCTTTAACGCTGTGAGTGATTATAATTTCACCTCCGTCGCATGTGAGCAGAATGCGCCCAGATGCGCCCTACACACGTAAAAATCTCACATCTTGTAGCAAGTCTGCCAACAAGCCGTCAACAAGTTGTGTTCGCACTGCTTGTCCCAAGTTGTCAACAAGTTTGGAAGAAGCTGTTAACAACTTGTAGCAAGCTTGTTGATATTATCAGACTTGTTGCAAGGTTGTTCCAACAAGTCCGATACAGTCATGATATAACAATATTGTTACAACTTTGTGTCGTCACCCTTGTAACATTCTTGTTATATCATGACTGTATCAGACTTGTGAGAACAACCTTGTAACAAGTCTGATAATGCCATCAAGCTTGTTCATGCACCCTGTTAACAAAACAGCAAACTACCAAAATTTTATTCTGCCTTTGCATATAATTTGCCAGCATAGTAAACAACTGTTTTTTTATATACTGTACGAAGAGAATGTCTACTTTGTAACACATTGTTTTAGGGAGACCTGACATATAAAATTTGGCGACCAGATACTGGGTGAATAAATTGTTTTTAAAATTTCAACCCCTAACTAAATGAACTTACCATGGTTTCTTCAAAGTGTAGTTTTCTAAGATTAGTTTGTAAAAATGCATCATTGATAGAATGGGAAAGAACAAGTGATCTGTTTGAATGAAGTTAAGGTAGATTTTTGCATTTAATTTAGGATTACTTCCTGTGGCCACACTAGACAGGAAGGTGGCTAATACCGGACCTCTAGGGCGAACAGTTCATGCAGTAAATACAAGTAGTTTAATTTAGTTTAGAAATTAAGAAGGATACAAATATCTCGCTCTTGATAAACTGCATGGTGAGTTAGTTTCTTTCCAAATCTCCGTGTTTTCACAAGTTGGAAAGACTTCATCATTACATCTGCCAATTGAAAATGATTTTATTGTCGATTTCAGATTGCTTTTCAAAGCGAGGTTCCCAAGTTTGTTGTCAACTTGCCATTTTCGTCTTGGGAGACCACTGAACCAATATTTTACTGCAGTAATATGTGCATTGGGCCTTATACAGTAATTTCAACTCCAACTATGAACATTTGTTTACAATCAAAGTTCGAACTTTGAAATGAACTTGCGAACTTCGTTGCGAAGTTCACGCCCAACTTCCGAACTTGACAACGTAATTGGCAAGTTCGCAACGAACTTGGGAACAGCCTGAAATCGACAATAACATGACTTTACGGTTAGTTATTACAGGAACCACTGAGTATTTCAATCAAATACAAAACAATAGTAAGTTCGAGATCAGTTATCTTAAAACAAATAATTACAATTAATAATAATTAATAATAATAGTTAATTAATATTAATAATAATTATTATTGATTAATTAATTAATTAATTAATTAATTAGAGATCAGTTACCTTAAAATAAATTTTAAACAATCAACAAGGGTTGATTCTGAAATCCCATTTAGATTGAAAAGGCAATCTTTTAAAAGGTCCTGAAAATAAAACCCAGAAAATTATGTATGCTGAGGTACAGTAGGTTATTGTTCATGGTCAATGCATCAAACTTCAAAGATCTACAAGAAATATTTCTAAATCATGTCTGGATCAGTAGAAGTTTTCTTCTTTGAAGTTTTGAAATAAACACAAAACCCAGCTTGTTTGATTAGTAACATCTCATGCAACTCTTGTTCTCGTCTGACCATAGCTGACCGAGGGATGAGAGTAGACAAAACTCTCATGCATGAATGGCCTTACTGGAACTCTAGCAAGATCCAAGTTTATAACTTGTAGATCCAGTACATAGTCTGACATGGTATTGCAATAAATAAATAAATAAATACTTACGATGTCATTACTTTCCAGAGCTAGAGAAAAGAACTGTGGGAAACATCTGTAAAATAAAACCATAAGAAATTATCAACACATGCATTTGTTTATATTACGTTTGTGTGGTATTAGTAGAATTCGTACCACCCTTTGACGTGCAAATGACGTGCTTATAGTAACACCTAACATCGTGATGATACTGCATGTACATGTATCCAACAGACTTACAAGCCTTACCTTTGAGGCAGCACACGAGTTTTCAAAATCAGTCTGCCAGTTTCACTGGACCACAACTCTTTCTCTTTTATACATCTTTCAAAAATACTAGTGACGAAATACTGCGAGACTGTTGGCTTTTCTGCAGGAGAAAAAGGATTGTATATCACACATGAGAATTACAGGGGACGGGGCGTGGATATCGCATGCCAACCCTCGCCAATAGCGTGTCTAGAATTTGTTCATATTGACCAAAGAACAAACCTGAACGCGATTCTGTGCAGGTAGACTTTTCAAAATACTTCCGTAACTCTAAAGCAAGTTTCTTGGCAGTTTTTGTCTGAATGGGAAATAATACTTGCATGTTAGCATTTTATTACTGTAGATAACTCAACTAACCTTATTTATACTGGATATCTCTTAGAGAACAATTCTATTTAAATTGTTCTCCATAGAGATCCAGCAACGGTTCTCTCTTACTGCGCCAGTAAACTAAGTTTATTAACAGTGAATAGCTCTATCAGATGTAAACTGTTCTCCCTAGTGACTCGGTAAGGGTCATCTCTTATTGTTCCAGTGTAGCTCTAACAGTTTTGAAGAGTTCTTTCTGGAAATCTAGTAAAGGATCATTTCCTATTGTTTCAGCGTTAAGGCGGTTTTCCACTAGGCGAAATTTTTCGACCGAATCGAAATTTCTCTTTGTTTTATGAGCTCTCAAGCAGAACGAATTGTAAAAAGACAAAGAGAAATTTCGTTTCGGTCGAAAAATTCCGCCTCGTGGAATCAGGCCTTAAGTGTAAGTCCACAAGGGCGGATTTTCATTTTTTTAAAAGGAGGGGTACAAAAATTTCTAGTGGGGTGCAAGCGGCACCACTGAGAAAGCTTCGGCAAGGGTTAGGCGTTAGAGTTAAAGACTTTCACACAAAATAAGAGGGGTGAAGCAAACTGGGGGGGGGGGGGATCTAATCAGACAACAGTATACAAATTGCAGGAAATAAACATCGATAATAAAGTTACGTGAAAGACGCATGTGCAACCGCCCTGCCACCAACAGCCTGAAAACTATAAACAAATTCATGTATCAACCTTTTTTGAATCCAGTACACGGCAAAGTATTTCATTTTCTGTTTCATCATCTTTGGACACATCGTTTTCCCACTCTTCAATTGTCTACGATAAAAAATTATATTACTACACAAATTTCGCTATGACGTTATTCATATCCAATTCACAACTTTAAATAACTCACATGCCTAGTTACTATTGTTCTAGTATACAGAAACATAGAAAAGAACAAAAGGTAACTAAGTTTTAGAATTATCCACACGAGCGAATAACTCTTATACATAACTCTAATGCTTAGTGACCTTTGTTCTGTTTTATGCTTCTGTAAACCTGGGGCCGGTAGTTCAAAACTGGGTTAGTTTAACCCGTGGTTAACCTAAAATTCGAAGCAAACTTCTTGACAGCTTTTCTATAAATTTGGAAATATTTCTTTAGAGATCTTGTCTGGATCGATATGAGTTTACTTCTCTGAAGTTTTGAAATACACAGATGTGTAGAAGTATACAAACTAAAACAGCAGGTTAAATTTTAACCCAGGGTTAGCATTAACCCACCTTTGAACAACCAGCTCCAGAAAAATAGTAACTAGGCATATGAGTTATCTAAAGTTGTGTATTGGGTAGCAACGACGTAAAACTACGTTAGCCAAATTTGTCAAAAGACTTATGCATAATGACGTCACAAGGCTTGATGCCTGCGAGGAATGTTGGTCTTAGTAGTCATCGCCCGGGAAAATTTCGACGCAAAGTAAGTTAACATGTGTAAAAAGTTTTAAAGTACTTGTGACATTGAAGAACTCTTAAAAATACTTATGTCATGTTTCAAAGATGCTCCATTCAAAAGACCAATTATAATTGGCTAGTTTGAGGAGTCACGCCCTGGAGAACCATTATTTGCAATTTCATTGGTTGCTTTGCGGTATCATGACTTTCAATCTGCAATCTCATTGGCTGGTTTGCGGTATCACAACATTCATTCTTCTATTTTATTGGTTGGTTTTAATTACGAGTCATGACTTTTATTCATAATTGTGGTTAAACCTTACCTGGCTTGCTTCGATGAGGTTTGGGGTCGTCAAAAACTGTGGTTTGAAATTCCCTGTTTCCCTTAAAATCAAAACAAAAAATGTCGAATTGGTTGCACTGTCAATATTCAGTGGGAGGCGATTTTATAACAATTTCACGCCATACTTACTTATTGCTTTGTTGCAATATTCCGAGAGAACTTTTCAAGGTCGCCTTTTCAGCGGCGTAGCCGCACACAGACACGGAAGTGTCGCTCGCAACGATTATAAAACGTGATGTTGACTGCAAGTAACGAATACTAGGAGAGCTGGAGGATGCGGATTTTATGCAGTCGCTAAGAGGTTTCTGGCTATGCAGTGTTCTGAATTTTGTGTCCCATAGACTAAGGGTATCTAGATTGGAAAATAAAATATAATCAGTTACATTTATAATCTGTAGTATCCTGAGATATAACAGTATTGTAAACATATTGCAATTCACATACATGTGCGAAAATATGTACAGGTACTAACCCATTAAGAGGCTGTCTCCGTAAAAACCTCCAGGTCAGTATGGGGCTCAAAAATAGATTTCTCTCATACTCTAGTATTTTGAAGATCTATCCTTGGGAACAACTAAAATCGATGTCATTTTACTCAAATTTCCTTTAAATTATTTTTGGGGCGATTGATGTTCGATCGACTGGTAACCAACTTGATACTCCGAATGAAGGCCAAATATCGACATATTTTCAGCGCTATTTTTCAAATCAAATTCATACCTAAATTTCAAAATTTTTGCTCAGAAATATAGACTTATCCTTCTATTTTCGCGGGTGATATGACTTAGATCATTATTCTTTGGTATAAAATAGAAAACAGCGCAGTTATTGACCCTCCTGAACGGATAAAGGATATCGTCTCAAAATATGTCAACTTCGAAAGCTTATTTCAAAATCGTGGCACTTGATTGATTAGTCAACACAAATCGCCAATAATATCTTTCTGCTCTACCATTTGACAAAAATGACAAGCGCGCAAACTTTGTAAAATTTGAAAATGTGTCGAAATCGAGCATACTTTATCGGTAAACATAATTCTTGATATTAACAAATAAAACCACCTTACACTACACTGAATGAAGCTTGATTATGTAAATATATGTCTTTCATCATTATTCTTTGGTTTTGCACTCGAATGAAATTGTTTGACTGTACAGTTTGGCTTCAAGGATAGTCATTTAATGCCAGTGTGTCCAGTGTGTTCGAATTCTGCGCGCCTCAATGCCATGACGGCATCAGTCCTGATTGTGACATACGAACTTCGCTCTGTTCGCTTTGTTTACCTCCTGTAAATAAAATGTCTCAAAGAAATTAGAAAATTCAGAATTAGTCATACTACAGACATAACTTTCATTGGTTTGTTTACCTTAAACTGTTATATAAAGTTTCGTTTTATAGAATGTACGATTTAATCTCGGGGAAAACTCCTAACCGAAAGAAATGTACTCGCTGAGCGTAAACATGTCAATCAAATGACGATGAAATGTTTCGTTGCTCTCTGATTTCCCTTTCTTTGTATTGAATTAAATAGTAGTCTTAGACAGTATTGCACGAGGTTTTTGTGTTTACAATAATGGTGTTCTACTTCTACTACAGCCGCAATTTGTGATCATGCAACGTTAAGGCCCTGTCACACTATTGCGTATGAGAGAAACGTATGAGAACCGTATGAAAATTAATGAAATCATTTTCATACGCACAAAAATCCTTTGAAATGCCAGCGTATGAGTACCGTACCTCTGGCGTACCTCTAGCGTATTCAGCGTGTGCCTAAAGTATGCTTATCTTATAAAGCATACGTCCAATATGCACAAAATTTTTGAACATGCTTAAAAAAAATATTTCTGCCTCGGCGTATGCCAGCGTATGCAACCGTATGCGACCGTGCTTGAAACGTATATAACCTATGCCTAGCGTACCCCTAGCGTATGTCAGCGTATACCGGCGTATGAGTGATATTTTTCATACGCTGGCATACGCTAGTACGATACGCAATAGTGTGACAGGGCCTTTAGGTAAACCTAAAGGCCCTGTCACACTAATGCGTATGAGAGAAACGTATGAGAAGCGTATGAAAATCAATGAAATAATTTTAATACGCACAAAAATCCTTTGCAATGCCAGCGTATGAGTACAGGGCCCGCGGAGCGTATTAGAGAGTGGGGGGGGG